GAATGAATGAATGAATGAATGAATGAATGAATGAATGAATGAATGAATGAATCCAGGTCATGGAAAATGCTTACATGTGATGGACTTAGTGATAAGGTAGGGTAAAACTTTTCTGCCTTCCATAAGCAGGATGGAAAGTCTTTTTCTATGAAGAGCTGTTGACCAATGGAAAAATTCTATTAGGGCTGCTGCAAGTGAATGGAGTAAGAGCCAAACATGTATGGAATTTGCAGCACTGCCCAGCTCTTTCACCATGTGCCTCCCCAACCATTTACTACTTTTCATGTATATACATGAACTTTAAGAGAGAGCAATTTTTAAGCAGAAGGCAGTCACTGAGTATTCCTTGTCCTGAGCCATAAAGTCATCTCTGTAGGTGCAATAGATGTTAATTCTTTGGTGACCATATAATTATTTAGCTATATAGCACTTTGAAGAGGGCCTTCCTTATCTATCACTGTGTCCTAATGTAGATTTTGCTGAGCTTTATTTATGATACTTTGGATACTGTGTATTTTCTCTCATAAAACCAAAGAGTGAGCTAACCAGAAAAGAAGAAAAATAGAAGTAAAAAAGTGGGAAACAGGAGTCAAATAGGATCTAATCTTTACATGTGGTTTAAAGAAAGAGAAAAGAGCAAATGCAGCAAAATCTCCCATATTATTCACTCTGAATTAGAGTGCAGGTCCTTTGGAACTGACTGAGGCATTGTCTAGCATGGTAATCTGGGAAGAGCTTGAACTTGTTGGTCCTGAAAAAGTGGACAGAGGCCTCAGTGCTGTGAGTACAGACAACTGTGTATTAGATCCATGTCCTTCCTGGTCGGTTAAAAAGTCCCAGGAGATAAAATGTGGCTGCATCCAGGCAGTGGTAAGCACATCCTTGAGGGAGGGGGTAGTTCCTCTGGCTCTTAAAAAGCAATGGTTTATCCCCTTCTCAGGAAGTCCTCCTCATATCCAAAGGTACTGGGCAATTTTTGTTCAGTCTCCACCTTCCCTTCCAGACCAATTCCAGAAGTTGGGAGTGAGCAAGATGTTGTGATGGTTCTCCTTCCTCCAGGACTGGCTCCAGTCAGTGTTGGTAGGTGGGGAGAGATCTAGCCTGAGACCTCTGCTCAGAGCTCTACTCTCTTTCCGTTCCTTTTAAACATCTGTATGAAATGGCTGGATGAGGTCATCATCAGTACAGAGTCAGGAATAAGTGGTATGGTGCTCAGCTGTACATCTCTATCTGTAGAGGAATATTGATATAGCCATGAAGAAAATGTGCAGCAGCCATTACAAGAACATCAACTTAGCCCAGAAAGGCAGGATGGAGTCTGTGACAAAATTTAAATGAAGGCTACAAAAGAGAGTTCCAGAAGCCATTACTGGAAGTGAGAGAGGCACATCCACATCTTCGCAGATAGTTGGCATATCAAACTCCTGAGAATAGGAAAATAAACTCCTGGAGTTAGAAAAACAGATCCTGGAAGAATGAAGATGTTGGTTGACAAAGGCAAACGTGTGTAAATCAACATTGTGCAAGGCAAATAGCCTAGTAATTGGTAAGATTATAAAAAAGACCTGCCTGAAACAAAAGATTCCAGTGGAACTTCTCTACTCAGACAGAGGACCCTGTGCTTTCAAGCTACAGTAGATGTTTGGCCAACTTTGGTTGCAAGAGTCGGATGAGTGCTTGAAGAAATGAATGAAGGCAAAGAATATTGTATTTCAATAAAGCTTTTTAACCAATGGAACTTTGTGTGCTCATAACTTACTAAAAGATTCTAGCTGCTCTTCTAACCAGTGCTTAAAGGAAAACAGGGAAAGGAGCTCCACTGAGTGTTGTATGCAAGTTAACCTTTCATAAATTCCCATCTTCTTTGAGCTGTACAAAATTAGCTTCTTCAAGACACCTGGCCCACCTGATCAAAGCTCATGCTTAAGAGAAAGGAGAGTGCTTGGTTATGAGTGGAACTCAATAAACCATAGGGTTAGTCAGAATTTGAAAGTGTGTTAACAGCTCAGGATTGGCCCACCTTGACTTTCTTGGGTATAAGAGGAAAGAGAAACTGTAAAGCTTTTAAGAATGATGTCAGCCCTCCAGGGTAGACCAGGTCAGGAAACAGACACCACAAGAAAATATTAAAACTCTACTTAATTGATATAGGCTAGAATAACAGAATCTTGAAAGCCTAGCAGAGTTTCTCTTTTCTACCTTCTTATACCAAAAATAGTTCAGGTGGGCCAATATTAAGTTTCTTTTTTATTGCCTCCTGTCTTTCTGGGTTAAGATGATGTTTTTGTAACAAATGCTGCATATGTTCTTCAAGGCTATCTCCATATTCCTCCTCACCAGTGTTTCTTAAACTTTTTGCTGTCAGGACCCCTTCCCACTTCTGAAAAATTATGGAGGATGCCATAAGAGCTTTTGTTTGTATGGGTCATATTTATTGATATTTACTGCATTAAAAATCAAAATGGACACATTCATAGAATATGTATTTATTGAATCATGTAAAAATAATGTTAATCCCATTAGATACTAACATAAATAAAATATTTTCATGAAAAACCCTATATTTTATACAAATAATAATGGGAAGAGTGACATTGTTTTAAAATTTTGCAAATATCTTCAGTATCTGGCAAATAATTTTGATTTTGTGAGCACACTTTAAGAAACATTCGCTACACCAGTAGTTCTTTAACTTCTGCTACACATACTAATGTTTATCTTCCCAACCTCCTTTATCCCTGACAACAGAATTGGTGCTGTGCATGCCTCTAC